TAGGAGGGCAGCGCCCCCTAGTTACGAGTTCCATCGTCTTTCATCGTCTGGGTGCCAGCTCAGTGACCCCACTGTTCACACCAAGCTTCGGACTTGGAGCACTCAAAAACACTGGCTGGTGGAGGGGAAGTTGTTAAATCTGGTGAGTGCCTGAGCACAGCAGCAAAGAGAACACAGGAGATGTTGAAATGTGGGGGAATAGATGCCCTTTCTGATCATAGAGCCAGCAGCTTCCTTAAAGGCATTCTCAGGCAGTAATCTTTAGTGTTTGTACTGACATCAAAGGCTGGTGAGAGCCATAAAAAATTTAGGATAATACTCCATCATATTTGCCAAGTGCTCTTTGAAGCACTTTTTACAAATAAGGAAATTGAGGCACAGAGAGGATATATTTGGACTTCTGACTTTGCCTTTTCAAGCCCATATGAAACCTCGTCCCCTCAGCGGACTAAACCTCTCTTTTATAAGCACTTTTGCATTTGCAGCTCTTTTGAAGAGCTAAGTAAAATTTAAGCCAATTTTGTATTTGTTAGTAAATGAGTTCCTGGTTTCCAAGTTTCTTTGTCAAATGCCATTCTTAAAATGTATACTTCTATTGAATTCTTGCCTCCTTATTGCATTTTGTGGGCAGATGAATATTATGGGTGGGGGAGGGCAGTAATGAAGAGCTCAAAACTAGGCACTAATATAAACTGGGTAAGGAGTGAAGAGAGAACGTGGAAACTGAGTCCATGGAGATACGTTCAAGTAAAACAACAAAACAAAAATAAAACCAACAGCTACTAAGCACCAAACAAGTTTCCAAAGCATACAGTCAGAAAATAAGTGAAGATTGACCTATTTTCAATGAAAACATTTTATGTAAATGTGGATAATGCAAACCAGTCACAAAATAAATTATGCTTTCCCAGAATTGGTACAGATTTTGTTCCTAATCCCTGTCTAAATTAAAAAATCAACCACTTCTTCGTCTGATATGAATTGTGTATAGTAATAGAAAAATACAAGTATTGATAGCTTCATGACAGGTGCGGGCCAGTGGCGCAATGGATAACGCGTCTGACTACGGATCAGAAGATTCTAGGTTCGACTCCTGGCTGGCTCGCTGAGTTCACTTTTTCTTCACACTTTCTAGGTACTTTTTTTTTTTTTTTTTTTTTTTAACAAAGCATTGAAGCAATCCTTAAAGTCTTTCGAATACACTTTCCTGGAACTGATCCTTCACTTTCGCGGATGCTCTCCCGCATCGACTGTCCGCTGAGCCTGAAAGAGACGTCAGAAGCATCAAAGGAACGATCCTCTAAGATTTTCTTCTGTCATCGCTTCTTGAACTTGAGACAGGAGATTGGCTGAAAAAGACCATTAGAAGGAAGGTTTTAAAATCAAAGAAGCTCTAAAGAAAAATAAACAATGACTTTTCTTCCAGTGTCTTCTCCATCGACGTTTTTTCCCCACTGGGAAGAGTCCTCACCCTAGAGGTCTCTCCTGCGCAGTTCCTTCCTCGCGTGGCTACCAAAGAGAGAGAGGACAGACATCTCTTGGGGAAATGTTGAGGCAGGGAAGGTTCGGCTGCGGGGACACGGGTGCGAGCGGCCCTTTGCCTCAGCTGAGCCCTTTAGACAGAGGTTGGCTCTGAAGACCGCGGTCGCCCCTCACCCCCGACGTGTCCCCACGTGCACGGCCGAGCCTTCCTCGGGACAGAGCCCCCACCCCACCCCCACCCCCGAGGGGACAGAGAATCAACAGGAAGGAATCCCTTGTTTTGCAAAGGTAAACAACCGGGAAACGATGAGAGTGTAAGGAAGACCTGGGAGGTGGCAGCTTTCGGGCTGCCTCTCTGGACCGACCTGCCTCCTCCCTGCGCGTCGAGGCCGCGCGCAGAGGCTGGAGAGAAATCACTGCCAAGTGGGGAAAAAGTCCTCAGACCAACCCCGAAAAATCATCTTCATATGTGGGCCGATTTCCGAAAGTGCAGCTCGTCTCCTCGGTGTGCATCGCAGGTGACTTGCAGTCCCCGCGTCGCTTTGGGGGCGGAGACCAAACCAGCGAAAGCAGGTGCGCCCGCAGGTGCACGGAGCCCGGCCCGCGCCGCGCTCGGCGCCCTGTCCTCGCAGGCACCCGGGACGGAGGGTTCTCGATGAAAAGGGAGGACCGAGCACGGACCCGACGGGAACACAGCGCGCGTCTCGCGGCCCTAGCCGGCCGGGTCGCTGGTCACGCTGCGCACGACTGCTTTTCTCCCCTGAAGCTTGAAACTTCTATGACGCGCCCAGATAATGCTGTCTCCTGACTTCCACTGAAAACTGAGCAGGCGTATTTCAAAAGCTCCTCGATTTCCCCATTCCTAAAACACAACCGCCTGGCTCCCACGATACTCCCTCAAGTTTCTTCAGTAGAGTCTTCCCAGCAAGTGTTACGTTACTTTTTATTAAAAACAAGCAAAGTGAGACGAAAATACACAGCCTTCATGTTGAGGGCCAATGTCTGGACTCTCGCTTGTGGCCCTGGCGATTTGGGGTTGTAGGTGGTTCGAGTTGGGCAGGCAGACAGGCCAAAAGGTCACCCCGTGTGGCCCGTACGGGGCTCGAACCCGCGACCTTGGCGTTATTAGCACCACGCTCTAACCAGCTGAGCTAACCGGCCACCCTGGCGACAAGGCCCTTTTTTTAAGAGGGTAAGTTTCTCTACATTTCTGTTTGTCTGAAACTAAAAGGAATTTCTTCTCTTCTTCCCCCTCGTTCTAAGGGGACCTCTCAGCCATATTCACAGAGTGTAACGAGTCTACATCCTTCCAGCTCTTCGGATTTGGAGAAGAAAATCCACGGAGAAACTTCTGTGCAGGGGCTGAGTCTAGTCTAGTTGTGGAGGGTGCGCTGTAGCCGGATTTTCAGTTGTTGGTGAAGGGAGTCCCCCCTTTTTAGAAGCACGTCCGTAGCATTGGATCACAAATTGCACACTTGCCTTTCATGGCTTGTAACGTAATGTCCCATTAAGTTCAGGCTGTTCCAAGGCGAGGAAACGAGCGGTGGAGGGAAGGACCCAGGGCCCCGGGGTCGCGGAAGACCCGCAGACACTGCACTGACGTCATCAGCCATGCGGTCGGGCGCTGGACGGCGGCCCCCGGCAGCACGGGTCACGCGCTAAGTCGGGGTGACTTGTTGTCTTGTTAGGGGTGGGAGAAAGGGGCCGCGGAGGGCGGCAGAGGGCGAGGTGGCGGCGGCGCCCGCTGAGCGTTCAAGTTCTCACCCGACGGCACACTGCGCGTCACTCAGGTTGCGGGGCGCGAGCCGAGGGGCCCCCGGCCCGGGCGGCGGAGGCCGGGGTCGGAGAGGCGCGCTCTGCGGTGCCCAGCGCGCCCGCTGGCTCCCTCGCCCGGAGACAGGGGGGAGCCGCCGCGTTCGTTGCCCTGTAACTCTCCGGTTTTCTTGCTGACCGACCCCTAGGCAGTTTTCGGCGAATCCTTTCATCTGGAGCCGAGCGAATCAACAAGTAACGACTGTTGATTTGAAGGCCGACGCGGCCCAGGAGCGAAGCTTGAGCCTCCGGTGCCCCCGCTCAGGTCGAGCGCGGAGTCCCGCGATGTTCCACCTTGCCTTCTTCCGGTCCGCAGGGCTCTCGCCGGCGGCCCGGGGCTTCCGAGCCTCGACGCCGCAGGAAAGGACGCTCTCCGACGTGGCCTCTGCAGTCCGCGCGCTCCTTGTCGCCGCGGTGAACTGCATCCCCGCGCGTCCGCAGGCAAAGCCACCGCGACGCACCTCGCTTGTGTCCGGGCCTTGCAACCCCAAAAGGATTACTCTTGGCTCCTCCCTCCTGCGGACCAGCGGAGTTTTCCGGGTGGCAGGCCTCCCTGACCTTTCCGACCCCGCCCTAGGGTGTCCGGGAGGATTGCTCACGCCGGGCACTCGCTCTCCTAGAAAAGCCAGCACCTTCCCAGCTGGCAAACCCAAGATATGGGTCTGTTGTCCTCACCCCCACCTTCAGCTACGTCCCGGGTAGACTGAGGGCTCCAGATCCAAGACCTATATTTTTCTGTACCCTGCTTTTGAATGAAATATTGTGTATGAACCCTACTAATAGTGATTCCGGATCAAAAGAAGGACTCGTTAAAAGATCTGTCCTTTAACATTACACCATGGTGCAGAACGAATCTCCACCGATCTTAGACTCCAACTCCCCCCAGATCCTCCTGGGAGGCCACCGGAGCGCTCGATTTCTTGTTTATCCTCCTCAAAATATTCTATGCATAGTCAAGCATACCTTTAATATCTTCACCTACGTCATTGGCAATACACAAGGGAATACCTGCCTCAAATGTCTAGTAAGAAAATTTCAAATTATGTGTGTTACATTCCAGATTAGAGTCTATGAATTATCCAACACTGTCCCGGGAAAAATAATAAATCAATATTAAGAATCCCTATTATATTTTACAGCATATACGTATGTATACATACCATCCCATATAATCTTAATAAATACTACTAAAATTCAATTTATGCTTATACTATCATTCTTGCCTTTCTTCATAGTAAAATGACGCACTAGGCCTGTCTCAGCAGCTGAAAACCAAATGCTGTATAAGATAAGCAAAACTTTTTACAGGATTCAAAGTGCTGACAACAATGTAAGGATCCGTAAGGGCCAACACTAAGTGAAGGCAGGAACAGAGGTAATTAAGAACTGAAAGTGCCCATGCCCTGATTCTTATAGATGCACTTAATAACACCCGAGTGCTCTGAAAAAGGCACTGGGAGGTTTTCTTTCTTTACTTCAAGGAATTGCTGGAAGGAATTAGGTGTATGGACGTAGAATTGCCAAAGAATTTACAAGGGCCCTTTCCATGATGAGGGTAAATGTCTGTAGCTCCTTTCCACATCACTGGCACTGTGGACTCAACTTATTTGAAGGTGATTGACATTGGTATGGGTGGGTATTCACGCTTTACACAACCAATCAGTAATGGGAAAGTCAACGACTTCTGCAAAAGAACAGGAGATACCTGCCGAGACCCAGGATCGAACCAGGGACCTTTAGATCTTCAGTCTAACGCTCTCCCTACTGAGCTATCTCAGCCCATCCTTAAGGCATTTTTTTTGTCAATTACTTTTACAACCTTTTCTGAACAGCTTATTTTCCTTTTTGGATGCTACATTTCAAGAAAAATAAGTAAAGTCTTTGTCTTGTTTTCTGCAAATGTAACATTGTGCCCATTTCAAAAATGATTATACTTACATAAAAATTAGACAATGGGGAAACATACTCAAAGTTTCCTGAGTATTATAAGAAGAATGAAAAAACAGTGATAACGAAAATTTTATATACGGTTTCTAAGGATATGAATTAGACAACCGTTGGGGTGTAGTGATTCAAATCTTCCTGCTGGAAGAATTCAAGACAACACCATCTGGAATAAATTCTAGTTTGGACTGCAAATATTTTTTTTATTCTTTCAGTTGTTTTTATTCCTTTCCCCGTTCATTTATTAAAGTATAAATTACATACAGTAAAGTATGCAAATCTTAAGTGCACAGCTTGATGATTTTTACAAATTTGCATTCCTGGGTAACCACCTCAGCTCTCTCAGGATCCCTCTCCTTTGCTATCCTCCCAAAGTTAGCCACCGGTCTGAACTCTCACTATATGTGCTGTCATTTATTTTGTACCTTCCCATACATTAAATCAAATTGAATCTGCGTTCTTCTATCTGGCTTCTTTCACTCAATATTGTCTTTGAGATTCATCTGTGTTTTTATCTATGAAAACAGTTTGTTCCTATTCATCACCTTCCATTTGGTCAGACCACAATGTACTTGTCCATTCTAATGCTAATGGGCGCTTGGTTTCCAGTTTTAGGTTACAAAAATCATGGAAACTTCTTGTGCAAATTTTAGGTGAACATAAACACTCATCTATCAGATAAATAGATACATATATACATGTATACATAGATAGGTACATAGATGTGCAGATAGATGTGTGAAATTGCTAGGTCATGTATGCTGGATATATGTATGTGTAACTGTTGCTAAACAGTTTTCCAAAATGCATGTATCAGTGTAAACTATTAACAATAATGTTAATGAGGCTTCCGGTCACACCACAGACTAGCGAATACTGGATATTGTCAGCCATTTCAATTTTGGCTCTTCAGGCCAGGATGTAGTGGAAGTTCTTTGTGATTTTAACTCGTATTTTTTGATGACTAATGATACTAATTATTAACAGGGGAGAGAATAAGATATTTTTGGTGTTTCTCTATATTTTTTTAAATATTTGCATTATGGGAGTATCTATTATTTGGATAATGGAAAAATAATTGAAAAAATTGAAAATTTTAATAATTGAAAAAATAATAATTTAGCATATCCCATATCAAAAATTATATGAGATGTTTGCAGTCAACAAACCCCACCTCCTATATAATGCAAAAAGTTATAGTATTTAGGTATGGACAAGGCCAAACACAAGTCTTTGCTCTTTTGCTCAAACCTGCTGATAAGGCCAAACACAGACCCTTCCCGTTTCACTCCTAGCCAAGTTCTTGTTCTTTGTCTCATGAGTGATTAGCTAAGATGAGAACTGTTTGTCCCTGTGTGTCCCCTGGTTCAATGATTTGAGAAGGACTCAAGGACTCAGCATATAGTTGTCCTCACAGCTATTATTGATTACAGCAAAAGGATACAAAGCAAAGTCAGCAAAGGGAAAAGGCACATGGGGAAAAGTCTGGAGGAAACCAGGTGCAAGTCACACAGGATGGGCTTAATTCCTTCAACCCAAAATTGTGACAACACATGAAAAATGTCCACCAGGCAAGTTCACTAAAGACTCGGTACCCAAGATATTAGGGGGATGCCTAGCATATATCAAAACTCCAGACCCAGAAAGAAAGCAGGTGTTCAGCACAAACTGTATGGTTAGCATGAACAGCTTAGGCAGTGATCCACTCCTGTCACCTGGGAAATGGTGGGAACTCTCTTAAAATCTAAGTTCCCAGGTGCCAGCCGAGGGCCAAGCAGGCCTTTCTAAGGAGAATAGTCTCAGGCCTGCTATGCTAACTTTCTGTACAATCCCCTTGAAAGTAGCTAGACACACAAATGAACACATCCCATTCATCTGATTAAAGCTTCTCCAATGCAAAACAATTCCAAATAACCTCATCTGGAAGTTGTGGACTATCCCTATAAAAGTCTATGGCAAACTACCCTGCAGAGAACACTCTGATCCTTCAGTCTGGGGTGCTCTCTGGATCGCAAGACCCTAAATAAAGTCAATGTCCTCATTTATCTGGTGTTTGTCTTTGACAGTTTGGTATCCTGAGTCACACAGGAGGAAAAGCCCACCTGGGACACCCATCTCATCCACCCAGACACTGAGTCCTCCCAAGCCTGTTGTGCTCCTTTCCTCATGGGATCCCACAGGGAACCCAGCTCCTCATCCAGGTGCTCCACACATTCCTCTGTGGTAGGTTGGTAAGGATTTAATTTCACTTCTTTGTTTGAGAATTCTTTTGGTTTGGTTTGGTTGCTGGCTTTTGTTTAACCTTGGGATTATGGGTAGCTCCAAATCCACCCCCAAGCCCCCTTCAAAAGCCCCCACCATGACATACTTTGGCACTATGGTGACAATTCAGTTCATTTCCTCCCAAAATGGCAGAATTTAACTCCTAGAACTATCTTTTTTTAGTACGTCCTTGATTATTTAAGATAAAAAGTCTTTCCTCTTTTAAAACAGCTAAGGTTATTTATAATCATATTACCTCCTATGTTGATTTTTTAAAACAGACTTTATTCTTTAGAGTATTTTAAAGTTACATAAAAATTGTATGGGAAGTACAGTGTTCCCATATTTCCTCTTCTCCTAACTTCAGAGATGCCCCTATTATTAACGTCTTGTGATATGTTTGTTACGATGGATGAACCAAGGTTGATGCATTGTTACTAGCTAAAGTCCATAGTTTACATTAGGATCTACTCTTTGTGTTGTACGGTTCGATGGATTTTGACAAATGCATTAGTTAAATGACTAGTAGGCATTGCGATGTAGCCTGAGGCTATTACTGACCTTCTGATGACGTGAGAGAGGGAGGATTATCAGACCCCAGTTGACCGCGGGCAACTGAAACTGTCAAAGCGCAGCCGTGTGTGAGGGAGGGTGACTGTGCCGTCGGTCCCCAACTTACAGTGGTTCAGTTTACGATGGTGCAAAAGCAATATACATTCAGTAGAAAGCATACTTTGAATTTTGATCTTTTCCCAGGCTGTGATGTGGGTGGGATCCTCTCTGGTGATGCTGTGCAGCGGGCCGCGGCTCCCGGTCAGCCGCAGGATCACAAGGGACAACAACCCATACACTGAAAACCATTCTGTCCCCACACAGCCACCCTGTTTTTCGCTTTCAGTGCAGTGTTCGATGAATTGCGTGAGATACCCACACCTCATTACAAAATAAGCTTTGTGTTAGATGATTTTGTCCAACTGTAGGCTAATGTAAGCATTCTGAGCACATTTAAGGTGAGTGAAACTAAGCTATGATGTTCTGTAGGTTAAGTGTATTAAATGCATTTTTGACTTACGATATTTTCAATTTATGATGGGTTTATCGGGACGTAATCCCGTTGTAAGTCAAGAAACACTTGTATTTGTAAATATTTTCTATTCATTTCCCTTGTTCTTTGTTTTATACTTTGTCCCCCACCCCCACCCCTGTTTCCGCCTCCCCTGGGCTTACTCGAACATTCCCTGTGATTCTCACCAGCTGTGAGTCTCTGCTCCTGGTGACTGTGATTCACTCTGCACCTCTCTCCAGGTTTTAGGTCGGGAGGCTGCCCTGTGGCCTCAATATTCCGAAATATATAAGGAGAGTTACTAATTTTCAGAGTGTTCAACTTTTCTCTTGTTCTGAGAATGGGACTGGTGAGTCCCAAACTTTTCACATGTTGGAGCAGAAACGGAAAGTCTTCTGTGTTCACATTTAAAATGTCATTGTCACTTGGTTAAATAGGCAGCCAAGTATTGTGTCTCAGTAACTTGTGATCCAATTTAGTTAGGTTTACTACCTGACACCTTTTGATATTTTTCCTCCTCAAATCAAATCCTGATGTCATTTGCACCTAAATCCAACCGAGATTTCTCAGAGGGTTCCTACAAAATCAGCAAAGACTTGCTCTTTAATATTGTAAAAAGAGAGGTGTTAGAAATAATTAAATTTATTTGCTATATTACTATCGATCAGTTTCATGAGAGGCATTGTCAAATCAGAAGAGATGTTCAGCCTTCCACCTGAGTTAGCCAAACAGCAAAGTGTGAGGGCACAGTCCCCTAGACTTCCCTCACTTCCGACACTATTTGCAAGTTTTGAGGTTTCCCAAAAACACCTTTGGGTTGGATAATTTGCTAGAAGGAGTCACAGAACTCATCAAAGCTGTTATACTCACTGGTTACAGCTTATTAGAGGGAAAGGACACAGATTAAAATCAGCCAGAAGAAAATACACATGGAGCAGATTCTGACAGAGTTCCAAAATGAAACTCCTGCTGTCCTCAGCGTAAGTTATCCTCTGGGCAACGATGTGTGACGATGCAGAGTATTGTCAGCTCAGGAAGTTCACCTGAGCTTCCACGTCCAGAGTTTTTACTGGGGCTTCATTCTATCCACATAAGCGCTTGATGACCCCATGTGCTTGAACTCACTCTCCGGGCTGACAGAGTAACAAAGCCTTCACCCCAAATCACATGGCTGGTCTTTCTGAGATGACTACGGTATGCAGCCAAATCCACCCTAAAGATATATCCTACTATTAGGTATGACATGGATTATCTCCCAGCAGCTAAAGCAGAGACCAGGGCTCTCTTTGGGCACAGCCCAATTTTTCACCACATGGGAAGGGAGGGGTTCCTCTCCACACACTCACCTAGAATGGTATCTGGCAAAGAAGAGAATGTAAGTCATACTATTTTTTGAAGAAACTAATACCATTGGTAAAATAAAGGAAATGTCCAACCTTCCCTGTGTGTGGGCCCTGCCCCTGGGCTCCCGGGGAAGCTCCACTCTAACATTTACCCAGGTCAGAATGAC